GTGTCTCCACCTGCTCCAGCGTGGGGTCCTCCATGGGCTGCAGGGGGATATCTGCTCCACCATCATCCTCCATGGGCTGCAGGGTGACAGCCTGCCTCACCATGGACTTCTCCATGGGCTGCAGGGGAATCTCTGCTCCAGCACCTGGAGCACCTCCTCCCCCTCATTCTTCACTGACCTTGATGTCTGCAGAGTTTCTCACATCTTCTCACTCCTCTCTCTGGCTGCAAAAACTGCTGCTCCTCGGTTTTTTTTCCATCTTAAATATGTTATCACAGAAGCACTACCACCGTCACTGATTGGCTCGGCCTTGGCCAGCGGTGGGTCCATCTTGGAGCTGACTGGCATTGACTTTATCAGATGCAGGGGAAGCTTCTAGTAGTTTCTTGCAGAAGCCACCCCTGTAACCCCCCCACTACTAAAACCTAGCCACGCAAACCCAAAACACCTACATGGTGCACTTTTTACATTATGAGGCATCAGTCTTAATACTACGTTTCCCCAACAGGCTTGAAGTCCAACCATGCTCTGCACAGTAGTAGACATAATTATTTCAGTTATTCTATTTTGCAATTTCTACACGGTGATCTGGGACATTTTGAGACAGGTGAAAGTAGATGGATAGAGGAAAAAAGCAGAGACAGGAATTTTCTCCCTTACATTATGCTTTTCGCAGATCTTTGGTCTCTGGAAAATTTCCAGTTGCTTCAGGAAATCTGGGACTGCAGTTTTAATATGAGAAAACTGTCAAGTGACAGCGCTGCAAAAGCCCAAGAGAAACTAATTGCTCTGAAAAGAAGGCAATGGGAGCAGAGGATGTACCTTAACAGTCAACTGTTCCAATATAGAGCAATATACTGGCCCAGTCACTGTCCCTCTCCATGGCCATCTAACGGCTCTTTGGCCTCCCATTTTCAGCACGTACAAGGCAGCACGCAGCAATCCACATGCCACCTTTTTTGCCTTCTGCAACAGACTGCAGCTGCAGAGTGCTGCCACTTTCTCAGCCACACAGGGGCCCTCCAGTTGGTTGAGGTCCTTCAGGAGTGCTCAACATAAATTTGACTGTCATTTCAGATGAAGCAAGAAGTCTCTCCTTGCAGTATTAGTAACAGAGTAAACCATCCAAAATGTAATCTTTTTTTTTTTTTTTTTGGCACTACCTTATCAGTTACAAAATGGAATTACAGCTTACTGTCTGCTATCGCACCTATGCTGGTTTTAGGTGTTAACATAAACTAAATTTATCCTGTAATATGCTTCAAGGTAGTTTTATGTGCTTACTGGGAAAAACAAAAATCCTAATACTCAGCTAGATCAACTATAGTATAAAATATAAACGCGTATCTTCAACTTGCAGTCAGCTGGTTTTTGTTTCTGACAAGCCATGGTTGCAGAAGACATACATACACATACAGAACAAATCACCGAGACACCAGCTGCATTGGCAAGCCACTTGAATGGCATGCTCTTGGCAACAGAACACATGCATGAGAGAATTAGTTTATGTTGAATAACTTCAACAGCAAGTAAAAGTGGAAATGCCCCATCTCATACACCATACAGTGAGGTTTCCCATGTACTAGGGCCAGCAGAGTAGCACAAACTATGGCTTACTGGGAAAATCTGGGGTATCAACAGAACCTCTCAAATGCAGAAATCTTGCAGCAAAGGACTGTTAGGTTACAAATATAGCAAGATGGGCAATCCAGTAGATCAATTCTCTTCTAAAACATATCCTTAGCACACTTTTTTCATCTTGTAGAGGAGCACTAATGAAAAGAAGCTCTATTAGACACCAGTCTCAAACTGGCCAGTATCTGAGCTGTGCCAGTGACTGGTTAAGTCACACAGCTCTTTCCCAAGTGAGCAGAATATACAAATGCATCTGGCATGTTTTCCAAAATGGAAACTGAAATTTTGTTTTCTAATGGAAGTTCTGCAATAAGCATCTAACATCCATTTCTACTGATAACATGCCAGTGCTGTTTTAACTCATGCCAGTCCGGAACAGACCATGACAGACCCCTTCATAGCATGGTTCAGAACTGCAGGCAAACACACATGAATTTTTTTCTCCATCATATCCTAAATAGGCCTATTCAGATATTTGTAAATACAGCCTCAGAAGGAGTCTGTTTGTGATAGCTTACAAAAATAAACTCCAAGCATAAAAAGTGCAAAAAAAAAAAAAAAGGAGAGGGGGATAAGAATTAAAATGAGAAAATTTACATCTGTTTTAATCTAAGAAAATGTGGAATCCATTGCTAGGAGCATGGAGATTTCACTCTGTGCTAACAATTAAAAGAGGATTGCACAATACACAGGAATCAACATATCCACAGATGTCACAATCTACTTCACGTAAAGAATATCTTCTGTTTGCAAGACCAAGTGAACCACCCTCTTATCTCTGTTTTTGCAAACAGAAGAGAACGACAAAAACTAAGTATAACAAACAAAACTGAGCAAATAAAAAGCCCTTACTTTGGCTTCTCTGATTTTCCTAAACTTTGATGCCAAACCAAACAGTATTGCTGGCTTCGCTGCCTTACGATGAAGTGAGACAGACTGAATAGATCTCTTAAACTCAAAACAACTACGGTCCCAGCTGTAAAAGTGGCATCTGGAACACTCCCTGTCCTGTAGGATGAAAGGTAAGAGGCGACAGCGACAGGACATCTCTGATAGTCGAGCCCAGTACTTAGCTACTGCCAAACACTGAAGTTACATTTCTGGAGCTAGATGACAGTCTCGCTTCCCTTCTTCCTGCGGGCAAAACCTTTAGAGAGCATAGTTATCCCTCAAAATTTTGTTTATCTAAAAATGCTGCATATGCTACTCCCCCCAAACAACATGAAAACTCAATTGACTTCACAAGCCATGACCAAGGGAAAAATTTCTATATTGCTTTTCTTAGGCATTGGTACAGAAATAGAATGTTGTAACCATATATTCAAAACATGACTTCAGGAAACTAGCTTATAAGATAGGAAGAAAATTTTTAATTATTCCTTTAAAGAGAAAAAAACTTTTTTGGGGGGTCTTCACTCTCACATTCTGGTTTGAGAATTGTTTTTCAATTGACTTGATTTCAGTTAGCTAGTTATTTCCTTTGTCTTTGAAGCTAATTCAAATTCCCTGGAGAATTCCCTTTTCAAATTAAAATACTCAGTGCTAATTATTTAGCACCTTTAATTTTCAAATTTCTTCTGACACCTTTGTGGAAGATAAACAACTACTTCATACTAAGGACATATCACAACCAGGTCATGGGGCCTATGGCCACGTGTCACCTGGAGTTTAACAAGAGGTGAAAAAGGAACATTTGTCTGGCTGACAAATCTAATGATCTAATGATAACAGAGTAGGAATTTTTGAATTTGCCTGATATCAGGTCACATCTTATGCTGTCATCCAAACCCTTGGGTTAATCATAACCTACTATAACAACTTCAGATTGAGGTTCAAAATCCATTTTTTCCTTCCTAGAAATATGAGCACAAGTGGCCAGTAACCAGATGCACTTCTTAAACAACTATTTTATTAAGAAACTAAGCATTGAGGGTCGTGGGCAACACAACAGGATCTTAAGTAATTGAGACTTCTTCACAACATCTGTTTGTAAACATATTCTCTATCCATATCCTCAGTTGTCTCAAATTAAATGGAAACACTTGTGCAAGTGAGCCCGCTACTACATACAGGTCTTCAGCAACTCCATGAACACATCCATGACAAATGTATAAAATGGCTGCTGATCAGTATTCCTAGATGACACAAAAGCCATGTGCCCTTCTACGTCAACATATTATCAAGCTCTATCAATTTTCTGAATTTCCTCTCAGTTGAATAGTTGCTAGTAATTCACTGAAACCTCAGAATCTCATGAACACACGCTCAGAAGGCCAAAAAAACCCTTGTTCCTTCATTCTAACTCTTTCAGTTATTTATCACCTTCTGCTCTGAGTGAAACTACTTTGTTCTCTATAGCAACATCTAAGATTTGTTTCATTTCTGTGGCAGCACAACTATTCTTTTAGATTAAGATTTAATTGTGAAATACTAATGCAAAAACAATGGGGGAAAGGGCATCTCCTTTAGGACAATGTCTCTTGAAACATCTTGAGCCTCCCTGGTACAATTGTCAATGTCCATGACTAGACCAGTACAGATGCTTGCTTTGACCAGTGAATCTCCAGAGGCACCCCACTACCTTACTCCTGGGAGCACATCATAACAAACAAGTTGATAATTGTCCAACTTTGCCTAGTGTTTGAGCAATAGGTAGACAGGATGAATTTTTTGCATTTTTAAGAAAATTCTTCCCAAAGAAAAGGGGGGGGGGGGGGGGGGGAATAGGGGAATCACACCGTGTTCTATCAGACATTCTTTCAACAATTCAGAAATACTAAATGTTGTCATAAATATTTATATAACATTGTGAGGGGGATTTCCGCTCCTCAAATTCAGAGGTAGAATGCCTATATTGTTTTCAAAGCAGGAAATACATTAAAAATTACTTCTTGTCCATGCATCTGGACACCATACAATTATTAAGGTCTTGAAATATGGCTCTCTAGGGCACCCACATCCACCTTCTCCTGTACATGAACCTTGCATCAAGTCTTTCACATGCAGCAATTTTAGATACTAGTTCCAAGCAAAACAGACAGGTCAAAACATCTTTTAAAGAGGTTGTGCCTGAGTGTCCCAATTTGTTGCAAAAGCCTCAGGTAAAACCTAAGATTTCAAGTAATTAAATTACACTTGTAGCAATGTGGACGTAACAAACAAAACATTTCTCGCAAAAGTTTTCTGAACCACATGAATGTGTTTCCTTTCTTCTCAAATATGTCTTCTTGTGCTAAATATCATGTTAATATTAATGAAAGAATGGACTCCTCAAAAAATGGATAAATGTATCCAAGACATAAAGCGGCACCTGAGAACAGCACTTGTTTTTGAAGAATGCACCCTAGCATGGCTCTATTACTCACCTCAATTTTATCTGTTTTTGCATCTCCCCAGTAAAGCTTGTCTTTTTCAAGATCCAGTGCCAAGCCATTAGGCCAACCTAGAGATGTATTCACCAGAACTCGCCTTTCTGAACCATCCAAATAAGCACATTCTATCTTCGGACTTTCACCCCAGTCTGTCCAATACATGTAGCTGTAAAAAAAAAAAAAAAAAAAAAAAAAAAAAAAACCCCACCTGCTCTCTAACATTGTTTTCGAAAAAAAAAAAAAAAAAAAAAAAAAAAAAAGAGGGGAAACAGTCAATACACATAACACGCAAGACAAAAAAGTGTCAAGATCTGTTCTGCTTTTGAAAGAACTTACTAACTTTCTGCTTCCCCAACTGCAGCAAACAAGCCAACTCAAACTGTTATCAGCAATGACAGTATAAAGCATTAAATAAATTAAACTACTGAAAATTGCAATGGCCCAATTCTTTCATAGTTATGATAACACTGAAGGCACAGAGAAAAGAAAATTCAATCAAACAATGTAGAGGTTCATTGAGGAACACTATATTTAGACGTCACCTTTTATACACATAGTATTAAAGGATGAAGGAAGGGAAAGCCAGTTATTTCCAGAACATTTGAGAAATAATAACACACATCATCTCACAATTTGCAGATTTTCAGTTTCAGGAGTCCATAAACAGAATCCAAACACCTATCACAGGGCTATTAAACATAAAACTTACCCCATTATAGGATTGAGCACTATTGCTCGAGGTTCATCTAGGTTTTCTGAGATAAGGATCTTTCTTGATGTCCCATTCAACCGAGTCACTTCAATGCGGTCTGTTCCAGTATCAGTCCAGTATAGGTTCCTTGCCACCCAATCCACAGCAATACCATCTGGATGGTTGATTTCTGTGGTTACCAGAGTCTGTGCTCCAGAGCCATCAAGGTAGGCCCGACGAATTGCCCGGACATCATCATCAGTCCAGTAGATGTAGCCTTCCACAGGATCGTAGTCTATGGCAATTGCGTGTCTGATATTGTCTATCTGCAGAATAATGTCAGTGAAGTCTGGCGTGTCCAGGGAAATCCTCCTCAAGTCAGTCCTTCTAGCGAGCAGCAAGACTTCTTCAGCACCTGGGGAGAAAACCATTCAAGGTATCATTTCCTTTGCTATTGATGTAAGCACTTCAATACTGAACAGTAGGCTGTGAACTGCCACTGTCACTATAATATTTCCTTAAAATAAGGACATCAAACTTTCATTGAAATATAGACTTGTCTGAGCAGGGAGTTATTCCTTATCAGTTCTTCTCAACTAGTTACTTGTGCTGGTACTCTTATTTCACAGTGATAGTGTCTTTCTCCCAGCCTCCTAAACTAATATGGAATATAGCAATCTCTGTCTAGAATCTAAGAAAAAAAAAAAAACAAACACAAAGATTTGGTGGGGGTAGGTGCAAATATCTCATCACATTATATAGAATTCCTCAGCTCAGCCGAACTTCCTTCTAGCTCTATCACTGCATTAGACATGGTTTTCACATACAAGCCCTACATAATCAATGACATGGGCTAACAGAAGACTTCAGTATTTTGTAAACAAATTACATTCGTGATTTGCTCCAGACAGCCCAACAAGAAAGCAAGTTGCAAATACAGCAAGTATTTCTCATCTGGCCGAAGTTGATGCAAAACTAATTCTAAGGCAATAGGATTGTTTTTCTTTTCTCTCCTCTGTTCTTCCTCCCTCACTGCTTCTGGAAAGGATGCCAAACAACAACCTGGAGCACATTTCAAAGACAAATGGCATCTTCAGTGTCGTCCTACTGGAAACTTCTTTTATCAGTACAAAACCAGAAGACACAGTAAAACATCCAGCTGCTTAACACATTTTTCCCACATTCAGCACAAAAAGAGCAATATGAGTTTGTGTATTTTTCCTACTCTCTTACTAAATAAATGCTGTGTAGTTTGAAAACTGACAAGAAATTTTTATCATTTAGCAACACTCTAAAACTGGAAACCAGAATAAAAGTCACTTGTCACATTTCATCCAGACCAGCAAACAGTAGCAGGAGGCGGTAACTTCCAGTTCCCACCAACAGCACAGACTGAATGAAAATGACCACCATGGGACATAACCTTTGAGCCCACTAAGAATAACAGAAATTCAAATCCTCATGAGAATATTCTTCTAGAAATAATTCTCATCTAGGCATGCATATGAAGTTCTGGAGAATCAGAAGTTGAACCTATTGCACATCAAAACCAAGTTCACATTCACTTTGGGAGCTGGACTGTGCTGCTATTTGCTTTTGGGTTTGGAAATCAGAGCTTAGTCTCCAAATAGTTATCTCAGAAGCTCTGAAAAGAAACAGTGCTCAGGCTGCAAGTGTATAATAAAAGGAAAGGATCTAGAAAAGCAGTGTTATAGCATCACCCAAAGAAGTTTGCTGCACAGCACGGACTACATAGTTTGATCTGCACTTTGAACTACCTCAAGTCACCACAGTTCCTGAATGAAGTGGTGCTGTTCTTCTCCTTGCCATGGGCTGCTTGTTCTCTCTTCTGTATCACTCCTCCTCACGTGATGTGTGTTACAAACCACACTAAAGAGCTGATCTAAACAAAAACTAACTCAACAGAAAGCAAGCCATCAGCCTAAGTTAACAACCAGACCGGGTCACTGCGGAGCTCCACAAATACTCGTGCTGGCATGGGGCAAGAATGCTTCTTCCAGTCAGCGTTAGCTGACAAGGTTTGATAACTACAGCATAAGTTGCAGCAACAAATTTTGAGGGAAGGCTTGGGTAGAAGGAAAGTGACAATAACTTGGAGCTCAAAAACCACATGGAGAAAAGGGAGTAAGGAAAGCCCATACATTCTTGACAGCAAAGCAAGAGAGATATCTCCCATCAAATTTCCTTAATATAGTTTTTCTAACTTCAAAGGTTGCAAAATAAAAACAGGTTTTCAGGAAGAGTGTTTCTTATGCTTGAAACTTCTGCTCACTTCTCTGGACATAGCAAACCTGTTGCCCAAACTGAGAAGGGAACAGCCCCAGGTGACCAGACAACTTACAAGGCTTCCTTCCTCCATTGCCCCCCTAGGTAAACACAGCAACAGTTTTTCATTTTTTCAAGTTTCCTTTCTGCTAAGGGAACTACACGGATCAGCAATCCTTAGAAGGCACTGCTGGCAAAAGTATTTATTTTCAAAAGCTTTATGAATCTCCTGGATTTTAGCATCTTTACTAAATAAAAATAATGGAACACCTAAACCAGTATTTGATATTTTACATTATGCTAAAAAATGATGGTTTACTTCCTGAACAGTGAAAAATCAATCAATCCAACTGTTTTCTTAAAAAAGAGGATGGTAGACAGAAGTCTACCATAGCTTACACCTCCTCTTCTACCACGCTTCTTTGCTAGATGTATATTCTGACAGATCATCTTTGAAAGATTAACTACATATAATGGCAAACAGCATGAATGAAAGGTGACATTGTCAACTACTTCACTGTAACTACTTCAGAGTAAATCAAATGCAACACAGTTCCCAAACAGCTGTTTTAAAAATCTATCTGGGAACAAAAGCAGTCCATAGTCTGTGATGCTGTTCTTGCTCTTTACACCTAGGATTACCTCAGAAACAGTAGTAGTCTCAGGACTACGCTGACATCTCTGGATTAGAAAACAGGTTAAAATCAATACAATATGGAGAGAATCAACTTTAAGCAGAAAGGGAGGATCTTCAAAATAGTAAAAGAGTTGTATTGAGAACTGATCTATGCAGTGTAAAAATGGTATTTTTATGGAGCCTGTTCAAATAGAAAAGCTTTTTGATCTCTTGTTTCATTAACTTATTTGTGTTGACATTTTGTTGGAAGTACTTAATTGGTATCAAGTCCTGTGGTGCTAAGTATTAAACATACTTGTTCGTTTCTGACATTACCATCTCCAAAGAACTTACAGTGTCACCAAGACACTGGTTTGTCCAGAGCTTGACAACAGCAGAACTGAAAAGAAACCCAGGTCATATTATATATGGTGTAATATTACCTCCATGTTACCTCCAACATTACAGATTATCCACCACCAAACAGTCTCTTTACAGGAAAAATTCCCCAAAGGTCCTATTTCTTAATATATTTAAACACACGGAAAACATTTGATTTTCTACTGCAAATTAAAATAATACCTTAATAGCCAAAGGGGAAAAAAAATCACTGTTAGAGAGAGCACCTGCAAACCAGGACACTGATTTGCAACTGCAGAGGTCAGAAAGCAAGCTACAACAGCATATCAACTACAGTAGAAACAAATACCTCATGTAGCAAAGTTTTACGTCTTGCTTCTATGTTTCTGAAATATTTCACTTGTGGGAGTCAAAATAAAACCTCCTCTTTAGTGCAAGTTAAGTAAAAATTCAGGCCTTAAAACTCAGTATGGAAAGGGGGATGTACCTGGTCATCCAAGTGCTCTACAAACACAGAAGAGTTTTAAACTTTAAATTAATTCTAAATTATTTTAGCTCAACTGTCTCAAAAAGTAAGCAGCACTGCAGCTATTCAGCCACCCACAGCACTCTGAGTCTCATATCCATCTTAACTTCTGAATTTTTACTATATTAATGTCTACAATCATAACCTTAACATTAAAGAACAAGTAGTGTGAAGCAGACAAGCATCAAATACATGCCTAGCAACTGATAACACAGCAATTGCCAATATTACATGTATTTCTAAGACAACCAACATTACAAACATCATTGCATGGGAACAGATAGATAAGAATCAAATGCATATATTTTGCCTCTTCACACAACTGATTGCAACTTCACCGTGGTTCACTGTGAGCAAGGTCAGAGTTGAACATACCAGAGAAAGGAACTGGCAGTCTAAGGTCCAAATTATGCCTAGAGATGCTGGCTAGACAACAGGCTGAAAGACACTGTTAATACCCCCCTAAAATTCACAAATAATATAATCTTCAGTTCCTCACAGCAGCAATAATTGGTCTCAATTTTATCTCATGCAACATTTGTTCACCTGTGCATATCATCATACATTCACTTGCATACAAAATACTATTTTGACCAGGAACAGGACAGCCAGAACCCCTTGATTCAGCAATTCCATAATGACTACAATCTTCTTGCAAAGGGGAGAAAACAATCCTGTTTCTTACATATTCAGCTGCTCTGACTTTTTCTACAGGCAAACACTACTGTAGAAATATTCCCCACCTCAGTTCTGTCCCACAGACATACATGGCTAAAAACGAATAGGGAGAAGAAAACTTTTCTCTACTGACCTAGGAGACCAGAAGAAAAATCTTCACTTCAGTTGACAACTGGGACAGTTTATTGGTAGTTGAACTAGATGCTTCTAATCTCTAACTTCGAACATACCTCTAACTGAGCCTAATGGGAAAAAGAAATACTAAGACGAATGAGCTACTTGGCCAATTCAAAATTCTGTCTGCTTGGCAAATTCTACTGCAGAGATACTTAAGTCAAATTATTACACAACAAGACTCTTGACAGACATGCATCTACATCCTTGGACATTAAAAAACACATGAACACAGAAAATGTTATCACAGCATATCTCACTACGTTCCGCCCCCAGCTTGAAAGACAGTAAAAGATCATTACCATGGATAATTTTTGATAGGTACAAAAATCCTGGCTTTTATTACAATGCAGTCTAGAATCACAGTGTTGGTTATAACCATATTTGACTCTATTAACAAGTTTCTGCTAGAGAAAAAAGAGTTGGCAGCAGGCTTTGAGCACATCACTAAGAAATGAGAATTGACATTGATTCTCTCTAAAAAAGTGGACAAACAAGCTTGTCTGGCTCATTAGTTTTATCTGTATCACAGAGGTATTTTGATTATTAAAGTTAGTAGGAATGTTTTCAAGGCTATAGAAGTGTTATGCTGTGACTTGCCTAGTGTTATCCCAGAACCCGTCTAATACATTACAGCTAGCTATTTACCTAGTGCTAAAGTGCTACGGCATTTATTTAATTAATCTTCAAAAACCTCTCTCACCACAGTCACTTTTGTAACCACATGATTAAGAGATTCCCAGCAGAATTGCTAATTCCTATAACATGGTCATAT